TTCCCTTTGACACTTTAATTATTTATTATCATTGACCTACTAATATTTTTAAAGTGTAAGATTCCTTCTTTTGTATCTGTTTTTCTAACAAAGGGCATATATAAATTCTTAGCCCTTTTTTTTATTATGTTATGTTAATCACCATACATTACATCATTAGTTTTTGATGTAGTGTTCCATGATTCATTGTTTGTGCATAACACCCAGTGCTCCATGCAGTACGTGCCCTCTTTAATGCCCATCACCAGGCTACCCCATCCCCCCCCCAGAACCCTCAGTTTGTTTCTCAGAGTCCATAGTCTCTCATGGTTTGTTGCCCTTTATTTAAGACTTTGGCATGGTAAATTAGTTTCTTGTTCAGCAAATACTCATTCCTTCTTCTACTTTGAAATTGACAATATGATTGGCTTTGGCCAGTGGGGTGTTAGTAGATGTGATGTGAACATAGCTTTTAACTGTGTTTATGTTCTGGGCTTGTCCTCTTGTGCTTTGGCCATCACAATGAAAATAACATATCCTGGGTAGTACTGTCCCCTCTCTGGGCCCCTGAATGAAACATGTGAAGCAGAGAGGCCAACCCGGTAATCTACAGCCTAAAGCAGCTGGCCCAGCCAACCAGTAGACACTTATGGGAGAAATAAATGCTTATTGTTATATGCCACTGATTATGTGGTTATTGGTTGCACACCAAAAACTGACTGTTATGTGGAGTGAAAGTAAATGATAGACCGAGCTCTACCATTTACTAGTTGGGCTAGAATAACTGTATCTGTAAAATGAGAGGTTTGCATTCATTGGATCCCAAGTTACTTAACAAGATTTAAAACTCATAATTCTTGAGTATACCACTTCCCGCAGAATATTTCCAGAAAACAAGTCAAAATATAACCACTATGAAATGAAGTCTGGAGAAAGATGGGGAGAAGAGGATCCTAGAATCTCTGATTAATTTTATTTTTCTAAAGCAGAAAGAATGGGGTTTGTTAGGATGGTGTTTAGTATAAGACTCTGAGAGGTCTACTGAAAGGCAAAGTATGTCAGGAGAGGAGGCTTCCATGTCCATTGGCTGCAGAGTACCGAGAGGGTAACAGGCTCCGTTTTCACTAAGTCAGCCTTCAGGGCTGTGGGCGTACAGATCATATGCAAGCCTCAGTCACTTAGAACTCTCTAAGAACAAGTATTTTCAGCAGCTATCCTAAGATAATATTTAACATATAATGGGGAATAAAAAAAAGACTGAGAGAAAAATGTAAACTACAGAGTGTTGAAATGGCAATTTGCTTTTTCTTTCTTTACTTTTCCTTGAGTGATTTTAATCTTCATGTAGGGGGTTCCTGCCTTGCAAGAAAGGTGGGACTATACCATATGTAAGGTCCTATTCAAACTTACAATACCATGACATCATGCAAGAATGAGTTTATTTGAGGCATTTTTACATAAGAACTCCACTTTGTTAATGGCTGCCACTTTAAGAGCTCTAATAACCCGTAGCTTACCACACTAAAAAAAGGGCAGAAATCTCTTCAAATATTTTTTTGTGCCTTTATTAAAAATTTCCTTTGACCACAGATTTCCTCTAGTTATTCAATTGCTGTTTGCATGGATGCCAAAGAATTGTTTCCATGAGGACAGTATATTTCTAAAATCAAACTTGCTAATTGGCAAAATTAATACATTTACTTGCAATGAAATTATTTGTGAGAAAGACAATAATGTATGTTAAAATTTGTCATTTAGGTAATATTTTTAAAAAAGAAAATGTTCTTACGCAACATCACTCAAATGCTCTGGGGAGCTCTGAGATCGTTTTTTCATTAAGTAGACCTGAAATTATGTAACAACTAGAACATGAGAAAGAAAAGAGGAAAACAAAGTATAGAACACTGGGGAATGAGAAAATAGCCTGCAAAGGGAACAGTGATTGGTTCAAGGTTACTCAGTGAGTCAGGAACAAAGAGGAGAGTTGGACCCATGCCAAGACCCAAAGTATATCTACATTAATGGCTACAGGCTAACTCTGCCATTTTCAATAAATGATGTACTCACATATGGGGGAAGACGGTCACATTTACCATTCTCTCAGGGTCTAGTGTGTGTTACTTAATAAGTTTTTATTATTTAAATAAATTATAAATAAACACCTACGAACCAGAAGTTAACAAAGCATGATTTCACATACATAATTTCATTTCATCCCCACGACCACTGCTGAGGTAGGTATTATAAATTTAATTTAAAGATTAATTTGGTTTAAAGATTAATTTGGATCCAGAAAAATAAACTACAGAGTGCTGAAATGCCAATTTGCTGAAGAACACATTGACAGGATCAAAATTTATAATTTTATATATATAAAAAAGTATATAACCTATACCAAGCAAACCTCACTATATACCCTACTCTTAAGGAAGCTCAAAGAGGTTTTGCATTAAGTACAAAAATATTGAAGATGAAAAAATAAAAGACCCTTTGAAGAACTCAAAGTCATGCACAAAGTTGATATTTAGGGAATAGAAAGCAATTTGATTAATTTGCTATATGTGGCTGATTTTACTAGCTAATTGGTTGGGTTACCAATCAAGCATGTCTGCACAAAATCCTTAGTTTCTATTGATAAACTATTTGTACATGAGGGCATCTGGAAGTTATGGCCTAAGAATCCTAATAGAAGACTTTGAAATAATACAGATCTACCACAAGAAAGCAGTCCCACTTACAAAATCAAGTCTCTGTTTTCAATGCCTACTTCAAAGCACTGCTCATCTGCTTTTGCCAATGGATATAGCAAAGAAATTTACTAGAGTAAAACATAGAATTCCTTAATACACATGGATCCCTGACCCAAAGGTATTGGAGCCTCTGTGACAAGTTGTCTTCCATCCAAAGCCACAAGTAGCAGAGGAGAAAGCATACTTTGTTCCCACACTGAGAGGCAGAAAATAAGGAAGGGAAGGAGGAAACATAAGCGACTACATGATAGGAGTTAAGTAGGAGCTCAACCTGTTTAGCCAGGCTACTTGTGTTCATTCTGGGCTCTGCCTCTAATACAACCTTGAAAAAGTTACTTAACCTCTTTATGACTCAGTTTGCTTAATTGTAATACAGAGAAATTAATAGAACCTATCTCATAGGGTTGTTTTAAGGATTGAGTTAATATTTAAGTGCTTAGTGTCAGGTGTACAGTAATCCCAATATAAAAGTTTGATAAATGAAAGATAGGAAGAGTAAGAGAGAGAATAGTGGATGCTAAGGGTCTTTAATGTATTGCTTTGCTTCCTTCTAATGGAGTCCTTTTCTTTCCACACCTGAGGCCACTGACTCTTACCAGAGAGCTTTTAGGCCCATTTCTTGTGTGACCCCAAACTACTCTTATTCAGAAAGATTTAAGAAGCCCTAGCTCAGTAGTTCAGGTGAGTCAGCATCAAGTCGAGCTTGCTGTTATTCCTGTCCTGACCCCATGTCCCAGTTTTAGTCACTTGTTCCTATAATCAAGCCCCAGTCTGGAACTCCAGTTCTAGCATTCTGCTCCCCTGTGGCTGAGTCCTGGCTTGGAGGACCTCCTCAGGATCTGCAGGTCCTAGGAGGCAGATGCCTCCCAAAGGGCAGCCTCTGGACTGGAAACACTTTGTCTGGCACACTGTGCACGAACTTTGGAAAATCAGTTGCCTGCATTTAAAAATTCCAAAATTTGACATAAAAATTCAAATTTCCGGGTGCCTGAGTGGCTCAGTCGTTAAGCGTCTGCCTTCGGCTCAGGTCAGGATCCCAGGGTCCTGGGATCGAGCCCCGCATCGGGCTCCCTGCTCCGTGGGGAGCCTGCTTCTCCCTCTGCCTCTCTCTCTCTGTCTCCTATGAATAAATAAATAAAATCTTTAAAAAATTTTCAAATTTCCAACTTCTCTGGAAAATGAAATGATCTGGCAGCACTTGGTCCCCATTTCCCCTCGGTATGAACCCACTGGAGCCAAGCAGCAGCTGCCCCCTTTGGAAGGCCATGTGCTATCTATTCCCTACTGTCCCCAAGCCCTCCTGCTCCATTTCTGTGAGTTACTGTGAGTTACTTGGTCCCTGTAGGCCTTTGAAGTTGGGGGTCTAAGATTCAGAATAGCCGATACTTAACAAGCATTTCCTTTGTGCCAGGTGCTCTTTCAATTGCTTCACAAGTTTTATTCGTTTAATCAAAGACCAGGAATCTGTTTGTTCTTATCCATTGTCCCTGCAGTCCTCCTTGCTTCAAATTCTCTGTCTGCATGCACCTGTGTCTGTCCCATGTTCCCCAATCACTATTCTCTACCCATTAGCTAGGGCCGCTCAGAAAGCCTTGTTGGGCCTCCATAGTGTCAACCCCTCACCCACACTGTGGCCTGTTGCCACTCTCCAATCTCCTCTGCCCAGCCAAACTTTGTTGTCAAGAATTTTGGCCATTATAGTGACTGTATTTCAGGTACAGAATTCCAGGCTTTACTGATCTGCCTGATCCTAGTATCTGTCTCATGCTCCAGGCATAAACCCACACATTTCATTATATATAGATAGACTACCCCTCACAAAAATTTGTTGCAACTCTTGTTAGAAGCCCAGCAAAATCCACTAAATATTTATTGATAGCTTACTTATATTCTAGGTCCCGCCACAGAAATTGATTTGAGTATTCCTTTACTAAGAAACCCAAACAAGTTTATCCATCTCTTCTATAATTAATTCATTATTTTTTCAGGAAACCACCAAGGAAACTAACATTATTTGAACACAATTGGCTTTTTTTTTTCTTTTCTCATGATGTGCCCTTGTGCTTTAGAAAACAATGAATGAAAGAGGAAACTATTTGCATGACTAAGCTGAGATTTAGCAAATATCAAAACAAAACTCACAAAACTCATTCTACACATTTCATAAGATTATCTGGATTGGGTAAAACTGAATATGTATTGAAATTTAAATTTAGCTGATTAAGTTCTAACATGATTTTTAAAGAAAGTCTTAATAAGAATGTTACTTACATAAGGAATCGTGTCCAAAGTATCTGTGTTGACAATAATAGGAGCAGGGCTGGCCTAAAAAGGAGAAACATAAAAAAAATTAAGTAACAAGTAGTCTCTTTTAAGATAGGATCTGTTAAATGTATTTGAGTTCAACAGTATTTCTTGAGGACCTGTACAGGCACTGTGTCAGGGTTTTGGGGGATAAATGAAATACCTTGGAGTTCGCTGCAACCTCCTCCTTCAAATATTTGTTTGCTACATTTGCTACATAATGAAATGAAGTAAGCAGTTGAGCTTATACTCATTTTCTCTTAAATTCTACCCAACAGTAGGAGGTGAGGATTTGAGCTGCGTATGAGGTAAGAATTTCTTATAAATTGGGTGACAGTTAAAATGTATAGCATTTCCTTATAAAATAGCTGTACAAAATAAATTTAACCTCTCTCTTGTGGCAGCAAACTTAAACCCAAACCAGTATTTGTAATCCTTCTCTTTAAACTGCCTTTTGAGAATATGTTGAAAAAAAAGTTTCACTCATTGACATCTTATATATACTTACCTATTATGCGTTCTTTATCCTATCTTTTGTCATTTATGCATTACTGATCACATACCTTAGAAATCCTTCGATAGGAAATTAAAAATTTTCAAAGATGGCATAAAATCATATCGGGTAGGCTGAACTTTCTTTTTCAAAACAAAATTTGTACAAAATCTAATCATTCCCTTTAAAGTTGAGTAGGAAACTGTAAAACTGATACAGAAGTGCTACAAGCCAAGTCATTAGAAAATAAGAGATTGCAATCTCTATTTGCATCCACCAATCTGACTTCATGAATATTGAGTAGACCTATCTTTATTTTCTAGTTTCCAGATTTTCACAGCATTTTTTCCTTCATCCCCTGCAGGATCTTTAATCTCCTGCCCAAATTGTAGATTTCATTTAGATAGAGGAAATACTCTCATCATGATTAATCAAGAGGTGTCCTATAAGACCCAGTGGTTTTGGCAAGTGCTCAACTTTTGGGACATTTCATTAGCCATGCCCTCTGGAGTTAACAGAGTTAACAGCTTTTTAATGTCAATCTGTGCCTATGGAATCCTAATTGAATGATACAACAAATGGCAATCCAGCAGATATCACAAAACAGAATTCCATGTTTTAACACAACACACTGGGCATTAAGAGCAGGACCCTGGTCTAGCATTTACATGGTGGGTCAGCTAGATGATCACAGTTTATTCATTAACTCCTAAAACCAAGTACCTCAGGGTGAATAGGGGCTTTGGAGAAAGACAGTTTCCACTGGATCCCACAAAACAACACCCCAAAACACATACACACACAAAAAACAGTGCTTGTAAGAGGTATGTGGTATAGGGAAAAGAACATGAGGTTTAGAATCAGAAAATCTGGGCTCGAGTTTGGTTTGGCAACTTCCTGATTATATGTTTTGGGGGCTGAGCAACTTCCTGGTGGTGCGATCTAGGGGCAATTACACCAACTCCCTTTGCCTCATTTTCCCTCTCTGTAGAATGGGAATAGAGGTAATCACCTTCTGAAAGAGTTGTTTGAAGAATAAGTGAGGTGATATAGTTCATGAGCTTTGTAAACTTAAATTTCAGAATCAATGTTAAATATTATTATTAGTGTCCTTAAACATGGACCACTGTAAGAATATATTACTGAATGGTTTGTGAACTGTTTATACACCAGAGATTTCAATGCTATGTTAGTGGCTACAATTGCACTAAAGAAAACTAAAGATTAGACCATGTGAAGTACCATTAAATCCATATTACTTGCCCATGTATAAGAATATACACATATATCCTCATTTAATTGCCACAAAACCTTATTGATGAAGCATCATTATCACTGTCCCCACATTATAAATGAGATGAGAAAAAGGAGGCTCAGGGAAAATGAGAGCTTAGATTTAACACTGGCTTTTCTGACCTCAAAATCCATTTTTTCCACACTAAGCTGCTCCGTGATCTCAGTATCTAGGTGGCTCATTGCAAGAGTCCTGCAGTGATTGAAGATCTCTAGTTAGAGCAGCCTATGAGACTCAGGAAAACAAAAGACCACTCTGGAGGCAAGAGATGCCCTAAGGTCTTACATATCAGACATTCAAAGCAAGCTGGTGATGCCTGAATGGTTACTGGTATTGTCATCCTATTCCATGTTTTAGTTTTGACTTCCTCTCTTCTATGCTTGCTAAATGGTTCCCAGGATGACCCCAAACATCTGTGCCTTGTCTCCTTGACCAGACTGAAAGCTTTCCAAGTATCACACCCAACACTTGTATTTTCCCCTATTATCTAGTATAGTTTGATCAATAAATAAATAAAAACTTATCTAGTATAGTTAGATCATTGATTTGATTCCATCTTATTTTTGTTTTTCCTCTTATAGATTACATTAATGTGGTCTAGGAATAAATTTTTACATAAGCCCCTTTACTATATGATGCCATTTATCGCTTCATCTGTTTGTGTTCCTATTTTCTGTTTCATCTATGTAAACTCGGTTCTTCTAATCAGACTACGCTTAAAAAATGACAAGGATGTATACTTTCTTAGAATTCTTCACAGCACTTGGGTACACCAGAGGAGCTCAGCAAATACTTAGGAATTATTGACTAAATGTAGCTACAAAGTATAGATGAGGGTATAAAGGAAAGTCATACTTCTTTGTAAGCTTTGGAGAGCATTTCTAGGACAACTTAAATATCTCCTCTGTTACCAACAAGACTGCGACTACTTTTCTAATATCTACTGTCACTTTCTTTCCTTAACCAGTCCCTATTGCTTAACTGTCCAGCTTTTACAAAATAATGATTATTTCATAACTGTAGGATGGCAAGTTTGTGAAGTACAATTTATGTTCCGTGGAAAGCTCATTGCTCCTTTTTTGGTGCTAAAAAGATCCAGAAGCCCCATTAATGCCTGCATTTTTTAAAGTCACTAAAAATGCACGAGAAAACAGAGTATATGGAATATGTGAATCCACAGATACAACACATATATCTGACATGGGCAAATCCCTGGCATGATCAGCAAGGAGATATCATGGTTCTCTGTTCTGTATCCCACTGTGCTGCTACATCCGGCTCTCTGAAGATCAGATCTCCCATTACTCTGCTCCAGGCCCCTGACAGTCCTCCCCAGATTATTTTCACAGAAGCTTCTTGGAATCTTTAAGGTACTCAATGGCACATATCAGCAGAGAATAAAAGTCCCAAGTGGTGACAGAGTATTCTAAGTATGGCCCATGAGTGTGCTCTTCTCACCAGTTGTTAATTTCAGTTCTCCCCTTGGCTCATCCTGGCTTCTGTTTCTTTTCTCACTTTGGAAATCATGTGAGTCCATGACAGTTTGATCAAGTTTGGTTTCAGATTCTTCAAACCAATTCCCTAGTTACTTTGATGGTTCCCTCTAAGCTTTATCTCCACAATGTGTAGTGCTCTGCTATACACACAATCTCCTTCCATATTGGGTATTCTATTTAATTGAACCACTAAATCAAACTGGTGACTTATCAGATGCCAGCACCCTACTTCAGTATGCTTACTTCCGTTTACTGGAAAGAGATTTTTGACAAATATGAAAAAATCTTTTCATCAGAAGTTTCAAGGCTTGTCTTCATGTAAATCTAGTCAAGGATTTTTGAAACTATAAAGGTTTAAGAAAATCAATGTCTCTTAGGTGGCCTAAACTATGAGATATAAATGATTTGCATTTTATATTACATTCTCTTCTATGTGGAGAAAGTCAGTTTACAGCAAGAAGGAAGTATAAAGCTAATTGTAGAGAAGCCAGAAGCAAATAGAATAGCGAATAATTTAAGCTGTTAGATCAAGTTATTCATGAATTCCAGCCCCCTTTCTCTCTTTGAGTTCTATGGGATGCCCAAATACTTTTAAATTATATCCATAACTTTGCTTATGCTAGTAAAGGATAAACTGCTGCTGCTTGCCACCAAGAAAATGTAATTAAAAAAGAATCTGACATAATGAATGCAAATTTTCAAAGGGGTTCATTGATTCTGACTGATGTGGTTACTTCTTGATATTTTTAAGTGCTAGATTTGAGAAATACTTCTGACATATATGGGTAAGTGTTCACCAGGTCAGCTACAGTCAGAAAGCCTCATCAAGCAAGGTGTAGGCAGGGAAGGTACATCAGCCAGTCAGCCAAAGAGCACACTCTGGGAAGTTTATATCTGACAAGTGTAGGCTAACCAGTGAGAAGGTCACAAGATTGAATCTGGGCTTATATCTAAACTTTTAAGAAGCAAAGTTGAAAAGGAGAGAAACCTACATAGTCAAGGGACCTAAATAAAGCAGGAACTGAACAGTAACACGGATGGGGTTGAGAAATTATGCAGGGATTTCAAATGACCTGGCACATGCAAGTCAAAGGCAAGCGGTTGTCAAGCCAAATCAAGTAGGAGGTAAAATATGGCAAGGATAACATGTTAGCTGCTTTTGGGGCACAGTATCTCTGGTTTATCTTCTCAGGCTTAAAAAACAAGGCTCTTGAGTGGGCAAGAAGCAACACAGGTCATATAAATGACTTTCATATATGGTGTGGCATGACAACTTGAAACAAAATAGAAGCGACTGAAAGTTTTTAAATGAGTCCATTTGTTATGCATGTGATTTCACTGAGACAGCTAAAGATCCCCAGACTTCAAGGTAGATATTAGCTGGCTTAGGTCAGCCGCTACAAGGTTATTAATGGTCTAGCTTCACAATTCACATACACAATTCACACGGTTCACACATTAGGCTGAACCCCAGTCAGACCATGTTCTAATTCTAACCAGGGAAGTAGAATATTGGAGTTAGTACCCACAGCAGGTCTGAAGTGAGATCTCTAACATTAAGTACTGAATTGGTATGCTAAGGATTGAACTCAGGATAACTTTATTTTGTCTCAGGATTTCCCCCCTAATCTTCCACTATGTTGGCCCATCACAAAAAATGTGATGTGGTTGGGGTTGGGGACACTTCTACCTCAATTTCCTGCCTTTAGTTCTCTGCTAGACATGAAACCGTTTCTTC